GAGGATACTTGGATGGTTGATCTTCCTGTTTATATACGATCTGTTCTAGTATCACTTTGTCTACCATCTTACTGTACCATCTTAGTTTGTGATTTCTACACCTTTATCATTAAATTTTTTTTTCAACGTTTATTTATTTTTGGGGCAGAGAGAGACAGAGCATGAACGGGGGAGGGGCAGAGAGAGAGGGAGACACAGAATTGGAAACAGGCTCCAGGCTCTGAGCCATCAGCCCAGAGCCTGACGCGGGGCTCGAACTCACAGACCGCGAGATCGTGACCTGGCTGAAGTCGGACGCTTAACCGACTGCACCACCCGGCGCCCCTACACCTTTATCATTAAATAGACTATGATCTCAAGCCAAAACTTTCCCATCAGCACGAAGGCCTCGGTCACTTCACCCTCACACCCCCTGATAAATCCATTGTGTGTTCCTTCCAGAGCTGCTTGCTGTGTGTAGACTGCCTCCAATCTAGTGGGCTCCAACTAGTTAGGTGTGCACATCTCATACTAGAGACTTGAAATGTCAGCTGAGCTTCATTTCCTGCTCTATTCTTTTTTTTTAGTGGTTATTTATTTTTGAGAGAGAGAGAGAGAGAGAGAGAGAAAGCGAGCACAAGTGAGGGAGGGGCAGGGAGGGAAACACAGAATCTGAAGCAGGCTCCAGGCTCTGAGCTGGCAGCATAGAGACTGAGGTGGGGCTCAAGACATTGTGCTCAAATCCACTAATCGTGAGATCATGACCTGAGCCGAAGGTGGATGCTTAACCGACTGAGACACCCAGGCACCCCTTTCCTGCTCCATTTTTAATTCATCCTTCTATTCCCCAGCAATAGAATTTCTCTTTTTTTTCTCCTTTGTTCAAATCCTGATTTGTCTCAAGTTCTGCCATAAGCATGAGGGAACTTCTCTAAATTATCATGCTAATTATTTGTAGAAATGTTAACAGTAATCTTTTTTCTAACAGTGATCTGAATTAATTCATTCCTTGGGCTGTCACTCAATAAATGTTTATTTTCATTAGATAGCTCTAGACCATAGGAAAAATGATCAACATTTCCTCATGAAAAAATATTCTATTGAAGAAAATGCCCTTAAAGTCAGATAATATTTTCATATTAAATAAATTTAGTTTACTAGTATTAAAATATGGAGTAAAAAAAACACAACCATAAATTGAACCTGGAAATGTTGTCTGAAAAGTTTAGGGTGTATCCAGTTAGCAAATCAGAATAATTTCAGCATAGAAGGTGCAGCATCAGTCGAAAATAACTGCAAACATATGTACAGAATATGGCTCTTATATAATGTTTATGTGGCATTTCAAATAAATGGGAAAGGGAACAACTTTAAATCTATGGTGTTTAAAAAGTTGCTTTTCTCAAAAAAAAATAAGAAGAAATTTAAGATGGAAAGAGAAATGAAAACAATTACATTTGTCATACATGGACCTTTTTAAAATTTCCAAACCACCATATCCATTGTCTTCTATTGTTGAGTATGTGATAAGTATTTCCAACTCAACACATCTAGGGCAAACATCTTCTCTTCTGTTGCGACAAAGACCTCTTATCAAGCTCACTATTTTACTGAAGGCAGTCACCTATTGTCTACGTGTGCAAATCAGAAACCATGGATCCTATCTTTCACCATAGCCTCCATCATTTTCCATATAGAAACCATTACTAAGACATCCAATCATTTCTCTTTGCTACCTTCCATCTCTCCATGGCTTCCTTTTTCACACTTCTACTATCACCATCCTTCACCTAGGCTTGCTGATTATCCAATTCACCTGTATAGATTCCTCCTGATGCTCTATAATGCACTTTAGAAAATATAGCCACCAACAGTGCAAGAAGGTTCCCCTTTCTCCACATCCTCGCCAACACCTGTTGTTTCTTGTGTTGTTGATTTTCACCATTCTGACAGCTGTGAGGTGATAGCTCATTGTAGTTTTGATTTTTAATTCCCTGAGAAATGTATTCAGAATACACACACACACACACACATACAGGATGGTATACATACATACATACATACATACATATATTCATACATATATTCGTACATATTTATTTATATATATACATAAATATATACATATTTATATATATACAATTTATATATATATACAATATATATGTACAATATATATACAATAATATATACAATTTATATATATACAAATATATATACATATTTATGTATATATATACATAAATATGTACGAATATATATGTGTATATATATGTAATTGAGTCTGAGCTCTTTTTCTTTAGTGTATTAATTCTGCTAATTCCAGTGACATTGATTCTCATTTTATATGGCTTTATAGCTCAAGCAGTATTGATCACACACAAACACACACACACACACACACACACACACACACACACACAGCAATATTACTCATCCACAAAAAAGAATATCTTGCTATTTGCAGTGACAAGAATGGAGCAAGAGATTATGCTAAGCAAAATAAGTCAGTTAGAGAAAGACAAATAACATGATTATTCATATGTGGAATTTAAGAAATAAATGAGCAAAGGGACACAAAGAGAGACAGAGGCAAACCAAGAAGCGGACTCTTAACTATAGAGAACACACTGGTGGTTACTAGAGAGGAGGTGGAGGGATGGGCTCAATACATAATGGGGATTAAGGAGGGCAATTACTGTTATGAGAACTGGGTATTGTATGGAAGTGTCAATTCACTGTATTTGACACCTGAAACTGATATTACACTGTATGTTAACTAACTGAAGATTAAAATAAAACTTAAAAAAAAAAAAGAAGATTCAGCCAGAGTGCTCATTCCAAGTGCAAATACAATTATTCCACTCTCCCCACTTGCACTATAGATCATCAGTGGCTTTCTGTTGCTCACTAGATAGAGACAAATGTTCACTCCCTGCCTTGCAGACCGCTCTGTCCCTTGCAGTTATCCTATTTCTGTAAAGCACAGGACATCTGAGCATACCAATTCTTCTACATGGAATACTCTTCCCACAGATCTTTACCTAGCTCCTAATTGTTCAGACCTCACCCTTTATCTAGAGAATCTTTTTTTTTTATATCCCTGAGTCAGTCAAATATCCACAAATTTACTCATCATGTGCCTCTCCTGCTTGTGGCATTTTTACTTTTTAGTGATCACGTAATAATGTCTGCACCTACTGCTAACCTGTAAGCTCCATGAGAGTAAGAACAAAGTTTGGTTTGCTCAACAAAACATTCACAGCACTTAGTTCTGAAGGCAGAAAATTAAAACACCAAGTTATTAAAACCTGGGTAATTTCAACTTATATGCAATTTTCACTTATTCTGTAAAGAGAATTTTCAGAGATGTGAAGTCCTCTAGGGCCAGGGACCCTGGTTGTAAAAAAGTCCATGGTGGGATATAAGCGTAAATTCTCAAAGCCTAAAGAAATTGTATTTCCCTGTAAAAATGAAAATGAAATTACCCACATATGCTCATTAATAGTCTTTTCTATTTTAAAAATAAATGCATTGCCTATAGTTTAGTAAAAGTGGTTTTATGGGGGAAAAATCCATCCTTAAATTACGGTATATAAAGCTCATCTTTCTTGGTGTATTACTTTATTCCTCTTTCCTATTAATGGAGATTTATATTTTTTCTTATTTTTAAAAAATTTTTAAAAATATTTATTTTTGTGAAAGAGAGAGAGAGAGAGAGAATGAACAAGCAGGGAAGCGGCAGAGAGAGATGGGGACACAGAATCCAAAGAAGGCTCAGGGCTCTGAGCTGTCAGCACAGAGCCTAACATGGGGCTCAAACTCACAAACTATGAAATCATGACCTGAGCTGAAGCTGGACACTAAACACCTGAGTCACACAGGTGCCCATTCTTTTTCTTATTTTCATGTGCTTTGTATCCCAAGACTATACCAGGATTCTATAAAATATAACTTAAATAGTTGCACAGTGAATTTCACAATGGAGTCATGTTAAAATGAATTTAACCTTTTCTCTATTGTTGAACATTTGTATTTTGGTCACTCTAAATACTACTACAAGGAATTCTACACTTTCTGCACAAGAAATATGTGTCTATATGTCAGCCTAGAAATAGAATTTCTATTTTGAGTATTATTGAGTCAAATTACAAATTACTTAGAAGACCCAAGAATTAATAGATATTGCCAAAGTTCCCTACAGAAATTTTATAGCATTCCATTTTCCCACTTGGATTGTATTTAGTAAATGAAAATAATTGCTTCATGACCTTTTGCTAAATCGGGGAATTTTTATCTTTTTAGACATTTACCAAGTTTAGAGGCAGAAATATTATCAAGTTATCATTTTTTAATTCCTTGAATATTTCGGAAATATTTTTCATACATGATATAAACTGAGATGCTCATATATATTGGATTTCCTCCCACCCTCTTGGCAAATGGTAAAATTGTACCTCCCATTTCTTTGAATGTAGTTCAGGATTTTTGATTTGCTTTACCAATAAAATGTGAGTAGAAATTATGTGAGTCACTTTCTGATGATGACTTTAAGATCTGGTGCACACCCTGCCATAACCTCCATCCTCCTGCCAATCACAACAAGGAATGTTCCAGAGAGAGTTTTCTGTCTGTTATATTCTAGATTGAGGAGACAATATGGATACCAATCTAGATTGAGGGGATAATACTTTGTCTCAAGACAAAGTAGCATGAATGAGAAATAAACCTTTGTTATTTAATAGCAGTGAGATCTCTGAGCTTCTTGTTTCTACATTATAATGTAGCTTATCCTGAGTATAGAAATTGACACCAGTAATGGGGTTTTGAGGTTAAGGGGGAAAAAATGAAAATAGGAGACATTAGCATAAAGTTCAGGTGGCAGATGGTGAGGGCACTGTTACTAAAGATTGGAACCACAGTGGTTCATGTTATAGAGTAAAACTCTAAACCAACTCTAAACTAACTCTAAACTCTAAACATGTTATAGAGTAAAAACTCACAAACTGCGAGATCATGACCTGAACCAAAGTTGAACACTTAACTGACTGAGCCACCCAGGCACCCCACAAAGTCCGCTTGAAATATAATCTCTAATCCTAAGGGAGACCTTGTGAGACAAAGTACCAGAGACATCACTACAAGCATAAAACATACAGACATCACAATGACTCTAAACCCATATCTTTCTATAATAACACTGAATGTAAATGGATTAACTGCGCCAACCAAAAGACATAGGGTATCAGAATGGATAAAAAAACAAGACCCATCTATTTGCTGTCTACAAGAGACTCATTTTAGACCTGAGGACACCTTTAGATTGAGAGTGAGGGGATGGAGAACTATTTATCATGCTACTGGAAGCCAAAAGAAAGCTGGAGTAGCCATACTTATATCAGACAAACTAGACTTTAAATTAAAGGCTGTAACAAGAGATGAAGAAGGACATTATATAATAGTGACAGGGTCTATCCATCAGGAAGAGCTAACAATTATAAGTGTCTATGCGCTGAATACCGGAGCGCCCAAATATATAAAACAATTACTCATAAACATAAGCAACCTTATTGATAAGAATGTGGTCATTGCAGGGGACTTTAACACCCCACTTACAGAAATGGATAGATCATCTAGACACACGGTCAATAAAGAAACAAGGGCCCTGAATGAGACATTGGATCAGATGGACTTGACAGATATATTTAGAACTCTGCATCCCAAAGCAACAGAATATACTTTCTTCTCGAGGGCACATGGAACATTCTCCAAGATAGATCATATACTGGGTCACAAAACAGCCTGCATAAGTTTACAAGAATTGAAATCATACCATGCATACTTTCAGACCACAATGCTATGAAGCTTGAAATCAACCACAGAAAAAAGTCTGGAAAACCTCCAAAAGCATGGAGGTTAAAGAACACCCTACTAACGAATGAGTGGGTCAACCAGGCAATTCGAGAAGAAATTAAAAAATATATGGAAACAAACGAAAATGAAAATACAACAATCCAAACGCTTTGGGACGCAGCGAAGGCAGTCCTGAGAGGAAAATACATTGCAATCCAGGCCTATCTCAAGAAACAAGAAAAATCCCAAATACAAAATCTAACAGCACACCTAAAGGAAATAGAAGCAAAACAGCAAAGGCAGCCTAAACCCAGCAGAAGAAGAGAAATAATAAAGATCAGAGCAGAAATAAACAATGTAGAATCTAAAAAAAACTGTAGAGCAGATCAACGAAACCAAGAGTTGGTTTTTTGAAAAAATAAACAAAATTGACAAACCTCTAGCCAGGCTTCTCAAAAAGAAAAGGGAGATGACACAAATAGATAAAATCATGAATGAAAATGGAATGATTACAACCAATCCCTCAGAGATACAAACAATTATCAGGGAATACTATGAAAAATTATATGCCAACAAATTGGACAACCTGGAAGAAATGGACAAATTCCTGAACACCCACACTCTTCCAAAACTCAATCAGGAGGAAATAGAAAGCTTGAACAGACCCATCACCACCGAAGAAATTGAATCGGTTATCAAAAATCTCCAAACAAATAAGAGTCCAGGACCAGATGGCTTCCCAGGGGAGTTCTACCAGACGTTTAAAGCAGAGATAATACCTATCCTTTTCAAGCTATTCCAAGAAATAGAAAGGGAAGGGAAACTTCCAGACTCATTCTATGAAGCCAGTATTACTTTGATTCCTAAACCAGACAGAGACCCAGTAAAAAAAGAGAACTACAGGCCAATATCCCTGATGAATATGGACGCAAAAATTCTCAATAAGATACTAGCAAATCGAATTCAACGGCATATAAAAAGAATTATTCACCATGATCAAGTGGGATTCATTCCTGGGATGCAGGGCTGGTTCAACATTTGCAAATCAATCAACGTGATACATCACAGTAACAAAAAAAAAAGAGAAAAACCATATGATCCTGTCAATCGATGCAGAAAAGGCCTTTGACAAAATCCAGCACGCTTTCTTAATAAAAACCCTTGAGAAAGTCGGGATAGAAGGAACATACTTAAAGATCATAAAAGCCATTTATGAAAAGCCCACAGCTAACATCATCCTCAACGGGGAAAAACTGAGAGCTTTTTCCCTGAGATCGGGAACACGACAGGGATGCCCACTCTCACGACTGTTGTTTAACATAGTGCTGGAAGTTCTAGCATCAGCAATCAGACAACAACAGGAAATCAAAGGCATCAAAATTGGCAAAGATGAAGTCAAGCCTTCGCTTTTTGCAGATGACATGATATTATACATGGAAAATCCGACAGACTCCACCAAAAGTCTGCTAGAACTGATACATGAATTCAGCAAAGTTGCAGGATACAAAATCAATGTACAGAAATCAGTTGCACTCTTATACACTAACAACGAAGCAACAGAAAGACAAATAAAGAAACTGATCCCATTTACAATTGCACCACGAAGCATAAAATACCTAGGAATAAATCTAACCAAAGATGTAAAAGATCTGTATGCTGAAAACTATAGAAAGCTTATGAAGGTAATTGAAGAAGATTTAAAGAAATGGAAAGACATTCCCTGCTCATGGATTGGAAGAATAAATATTGTCAAAATGTCAATACTACCCAAAGCTATCTACACATTCAATGCAATCCCAATCAAAATTGCACCAGCATTCTTCTCGAAACTAGAACAAGCAATCCTAAAATTCGTATGGAACCACAAAAGGCCCCGAATAGCCAAAGTAATTTTGAAGAAGACCAAAGCAGGAGGCATCACAATCCCAGACTTTAGCCTCTACTACAAAGCTGTCATCATCAAGACAGCATGGTATTGGCACAAAAACAGACACATAGACCAATGGAATAGAATAGAAACCCCAGAACTAGACCCACAAACGTATGGCCAACTCATCTTTGACAAAGCAGGAAAGAACATCCAATGGAAAAAAGACAGTCTCTTTAACAAATGGTGCTGGGAGAACTGGACAGCAACATGCAGAAGGTTGAAACTAGACCACTTTCTCACACCATTCACAAAAATAAACTCAAAATGTATAAAGGACCTGAATGTGAGACAGGAAACCATCAAAACCCTAGAGGAGAAAGCAGGAAAAGACCTCTCTGACCTCAGCCGTAGCAATCTCTTACTCGACACATCCCCAAAGGCAAGGGAATTAAAAGCAAAAGTGAATTACTGGGACCTTATGAAGATAAAAAGCTTCTGCACAGCAAAGGAAACAACCAACAAAACCAAAAGGCAACCAACGGAATGGGAAAAGATATTTGCAAATGACATATCGGACAAAGGGCTAGTATCCAAAATCTATAAAGAGCTCACCAAACTCCACACCCGAAAAGCAAATAACCCAGTGAAGAAATGGGCAGAAAACATGAATAGACACTTCTCTAAAGAAGACATCCGGATGGCCAACAGGCACATGAAAAGATGTTCAGCGTCGCTCCTTATCAGGGAAATACAAATCGAAACCACACTCAGGTATCACCTCACGCCAGTCAGAGTGGCCAAAATGAACAAATCAGGAGACTATAGACGCTGGAGAGGATGTGGAGAAACGGGAACCCTCTTGCACTGTTGGTGGGAATGCAAATTGGTGCAGCCGCTCTGGAAAGCAGTGTGGAGGTTCCTCAGAAAATTAAAAATAGACCTACCCTATGACCCAGCAATAGCACTGCTAGGAATTTATCCAAGGGACACAGGAGTACTGATGCATAGGGGCACTTGTACCCCAATGTTCATAGCAGCACTTTCAACAATAGCCAAATTATGGAAAGAGCCTAAATGTCCATCAACTGATGAATGGATAAAGAAATTGTGGTTTATATACACTATGGAATACTACGTGGCAATGAGAAAAAATGAAATATGGCCTTTTGTAGCAACGTGGATGGAACTGGAGAGTGTGATGCTAAGTGAAATAAGCCATACAGAGAAAGACAGATACCATATGGTTTCACTCTTATGTGGATCCTGAGAAACTTAACAGGAACCCATGGGGGAGGGGAAGTAAAAAAAAAAAAAAGAGGTTAGAGTGGGAGAGAGCCAAAGCATAAGAGACTGTTGAGAACTGAGAGCAAACTGAGGGTTGATGGGGGGTGGGAGGGAGGAGAGGGTGGGTGATGGGTATTGAGGAGGGCACCTTTTGGGATGATCACTGGGTGTTGTATGGAAACCAATTTGACAATAAATTTCATATATATAAAAAAAAAGAAATATAATCTCTAGTGAACAACTGATTTAAGGAAGTAGCAAGTAGCTGTTATTAAACTTTCTGAGTGTATTAAAATAGCTCCAAATATACCCTTTCAGTTGAAATAACTGGCTCCAGGAAAGGAGACTAAGGGGAAAGTGAAAAGAGAATAAGCTTATCCCAATGAAGTCTAACAGGCTCCATATGCCTATGACTAGACATACAGAGAAAGCCATGTCTTGACTACAACTGCAGATGTGGCCATTGGAGCGTGGAATACACTGAAATCAAATACATGAAAATCTGACTACATTTTAGAGAGATTTATACCACCAAGTAAAGAATGAATATGGATTCAAGAAGCTTCTGACTGTTTGAGACTTAAAATAATCCCTGGACTCCAACCTTCATTAAGTGGGAAGTAAGCTGAAATTCTCAGTTGTTCTCTTCAGATTTATACACAGGATAAGGGACCTCAGAAAGAGTAGAGCCAACAGTTATGAAGAACATATGCAACCATTTCCCTACTGATGGGTGGAACTCTTCACAACTGCCCAGTAGTTTTCAGAATTTCTAGACTTGTGAATTCTATCTCTGAATTTTCTCTTTCTGAATGGAAGTGTTTATACTGGGCACCTTCTTCCAGTTCTACCTATTAAATTTTGAGCATGTGGAGAACACACAATTATCTATTCAGTTCGCAGATCTCTGAGGCAAGAGACTTTAAGCCTGACCACAAATTTTTGGTTTCCTTCTTCCTTCTGGCCATTTGGTAGAATTACAGTTTTCTCATACAGTGGACTAGGTTATGGTCTGTGACTAGCTTTGGTAATAAGTGTGAGTTAAACCAATTTCTAAACTTCTGGGAAGAAATGTGAAGAGCTACTGTGTGTTTTGCAAAATTTATTTCTTTTTATCACAACAATTTAGAATATTTCGCATAGTGTCTAATCTAACAACTTGGATCCCTATGGAGAACAAAGCCCACAGCCAGTATTCAAGGGGCTTCAAACAAGAGCAAAGATGTAAATCTTTATTGGTTTTAGCCAAAGTAATTTTGAGCTTCTTGATTAATATGTTATTGGCCATTTCTTTTCCATAATAACGTTATGGAGGAATGCTTGCAGGTAGGCAGCAGGAAAAGTCAGAAAATAAACCTATATTGGGAAAGTGATCCTCATGTTTTATATACCTACATATATAATAAAGTACTAGAAATAAAATCACTAACAAGTTTATTTGTTAAGATACATGGTAGGATATCAGGACATTTGTATTCTAGTATTCATATTTTTTCTGCATTTTTATTTAATTATTCAATTTATTTTTTGGTATTTCAGTTAGTTAATATAAAATGCAATATTGGTTTCAGAAGTAGAATTCAAGGGATTCATCACTTACATACAACACCCAGGGTTCATAACAGGTGCCCTCCTTAATACCCATCATCCATATATCCCATTCCACCACCCACTTCCCTCCATCAGCCCTCAGTTTGTTCTTTATCATTAGGAGACTCTTATTGTTTATTTCCCTTTCTTCTCTTCTCCACTTCCCATATAGTTATCATTCTTGTTTCTTAAATTCAACAAATGAGTGAAATTATATATTTTTCTTTCTCTGATTGGTTTTGCCTAGCATTATATATTCTAGTTCTAGTCACATCATTCAAATGGCAAGTTTTCTTTTTTTCTCTTTACTTATGGCTGATTAATATTCCACTGTGTGTGTATATGTATTTGTGTGTGTGTGTGTGTGTGTGTGTGTGTATATATGTATATATGCACGCGTGTGTGTGTGTGTATGTGTGCGTGTATCTCACATCTTCTTTATCCATTCATCATTTGATGGACATTTGGGCTCTTTCCATAGTTGGGCTATTTTTAAATTGCACCATATAGTTACTTGACTGTCAGAAAAAAAGTCTAATAATACAAAACTAGTGTTGTTTCTTTTTTCCTTGAAGATTTTTCCATTGATGTTTAATTGTTCCCTACCAATACTATCTTAGAATCATAATAGTCTAAATTTGAATCATATTTTAAACAATTGATAGGGAAATAACTATTAGACTTACATAAATGTAAATTCTGCAATTAATACCAGGGAATTGAATGAAAGTGGTCAAAAGATACAAACTTTTAGTTATAAGATAAATAACTACTCGGCATGTAATGTACAACATGGTGACTACAGTTAACACTGTTGTGTAGTATATTTGAGAGTTATGAAGAGAATACATCCTAAAAGTTCTCATTACAAGTAAAAAGCTTTTAGTTTGTTTTTTTGTTTAATATATATGAGATGATGGATGTTAACTAAACTTACTGTGGTAATTATTTTGCAATATATGTAAGTGAAGTTATAATGCCATGTACCTTAAACTTATGAAATACTGTAAATTAATCATATCTCAATAAAACTAGAATAAAAAATATCACACACACTGCCTTAATGACACCTAAAATTTGTCTGCTTTCCTGGGATAAGTGCACATCAAAAAGCAGGATGTTATAGGGCTTTATTTTCCTAACATATATCAATCATCTACTATAAAAATGGATTTTGATAATTACTGAGTAGTAATTAGTGAAAAAAATAGGCACAGTTTCTGCTTTCACAGAATTTATTGTCTAGTGTGGGAAGAAGAACAATCATACTAAACACGTAATATAAGAAATCCATAAAACTAGGTTGGAGAGCTAACATGGTAGCATAGTAGGAGGACCCTACTCATCTTATCCCTTAAACACAACTATATAACTATCAAATCATTCTGAATATTCAGGAATTGACCTGAGGACTGAGAAAAAAAAAAAAACTCCACAGCTAGAGGGAGAGAAGAGGTCACATGGAGGAAGGTAAGAAGTGCGGAGTGATTTTTTGTGGGAGAAATGGATCATGGATGCTGCATAAGGGAGGGAGCCATGGTTTGGGATAAAGGTGAGAGGGAGAGGAGCACATGAAGAGAACACTTGCCCAAATCCATTGGCTGGGAAAATGAGATGGACTGATTTTTGTATTTGCAACGAGTGGGGTTTGAATTGAAGTTTTAAAGGTCAGCAGGCTTGACTGTAATAGAGCCCTGAAGGCACTGCCCTAGGTGTGGACAGAAGTGGGACAAACATAAGACCACCTGGGGCACAGAAGTGGGGGGATTATTCTCTCTACTTACAGTAATGTACCTGAGAGGTAGCATTTGTGGACATGTCTCTCTGGGAACGAAGGAGATAGTGGGTACCATTTCCTTCCCTCAACCTTCAGCATAAAGTAGCTTCTGTCAACAGCATAGCACTGAGACTGGCTGCCTAACCTTCTTACACAAAGTCCTGAACCCCCATTCTCTGCCTGTATTACCCTACTCAAGCAAGTGTATCTCAGTCCCGGTGTAGCAGGACCTTTCCCCAGAAGACCAGCAGAACTCCTGACCCATTCCACATCTTCTGTCCAGAGACTTGTGCAAGACCTCATTTCTACTGAAAGTAGCATCAAGTCTCAATTAACAGATATAGACCAGAGCAAACCTAGTTAAAACTCATTACACTCTGACCGAGGACCAACTGCTGCCCATAGCAGGCAAGGAGAGCCTCTGCTGACTACTGACCTGAGGGACAGAGAAGCCAAAACACAGCAAGCAGAGTGCACAGAACACATACCAGAGACACTTGCTGAAGTACAGGCCCTGGACACTATATGACCTCTTCTTCATAAAGCCATTACTTTCAGGAGCAGGAAACATAATGGGCTTTTCTAACAGAGAAGACAGAGACTTAGACAAAGTGCCAATAGGGAGGAATTCACCCCAAACGAAAGAGGAAGATAATGCTACAGCCGAAGATCTAAGTGAAACAGATATATGCAACATGTCTGATGAAAAATTTAAAGCGACAATCATAAGGATACTCACTGGGCTTGAGGAAAGAATGGAGGACTTCAGGATGTCTTACTGCAGAGATAAAAGAGTTGAAAGAACAATCAGTCAGAAATGAAGAATTCAATAAATGAGATTCAAAGCAGACCTGATGTAATGACCATGAGGATGGAAGAAGCAGAGGGATGAATATGTGGCAAGGAGACAGAATAATGGAAAACAACCTGAACAAATGGGAGAAAGAATAATTATGGAAGACATGAGTAGACTTAGGAAACATAGTCCAACAAACATATTTGTGTAATAGAAGCCCCAGGAGAAGAAGAGAGAAAAAGAGGGAAAGAAAATTTATCTGAAGAAAGAATAGCTGAAAATTTCCCTAATCTGACGAAGAAAACAGACATCTAGATCCAGAAGTCACAGAGAACTACCATAAAAATCAATAAAATCAGGCCAAAATGAATATATATTGTAATTAAATTTGCAAAATATGCCAATAATGAAAAAAATCTTAAAAGCATCATGTTTGATGTTAAAAGCATCAAGACAACTAAAGTCCCTAACTTACAAGGGAAGACCCATGAGTCTGGCTGAAGATTTCTCAACAGAAACCTGGCAGGCTAGAAGTCACTGGTATAATACATTCAATGTGTTAGTAGGGAAAAATCTGCAGCCAGGAATACTCTAGAGAGCAAGGCTGTCATTCAGACTAGGACAGAAAAAGACTTTCCCACACCAAGAAAAACTAAAGTAGTTTGTGACCACTGAACCAGACTTAAAGAAACGTTAAAGAGAACTCTTTCAATGGAAAGGAAAGACCAAACGGGACAAAGACAAGAAAAGAAAAGAGCCAATCGTCAGAAACAATGAAAAAAAAACAAGTAATGAAATGGTACTAAATACATAACAATAATTACTTTCATGCAAATAGACTAAACACTCCAATCAAAAGACATTCTGACAGAGTTTCAGAATGAATAAAAAAATAAGACCCATCTATATCCTCCCTACAAGAGATTCATTTTATTTTACTATTTTTATTTTATTTTATTTTATTTTATTTTTATTTTAAGATTTTTTTAAATAATCCCTACACCCAATGTGGAGTTCAAACCCAAAGCCCTGAGATCAAGAGTTACATGCTCCACTGACTGAGCCAGCAAGGTGTCCCACAAGAGATTCCTTTTAGACCTAAACAGACCTTCAGATTGAAACTAAGGGGACAGAGAAAAATTTATCATGCAAATGGATATCAAAAGAAAACTGGAGTAGCAATACTTATATCAGACAAACTATATTTCAAACCAAAAACTTAAGAGATGAAGAAGGGCACTATATCATAAAAAAGGGAACTACCCAACAAGAAGGTATAACAATTGTAAATATTTATGCCCCCCAACTTTCCCAAATATGTAAGTCAATAAATAACAAACATAAAGGAACTCATTGATAATAATACAGTAATAGTAGGGGACTTCAACACCCCACTTACATCAATGCACATCGTCTAAGAGCAGAAAATAAACAAGAAAACAATGGTTTTGATTGACACATTGGATGAAATGGACTAAACAGATATATTCAGAACATTTCATCTTAAAGCACCAGAATACACATTCTTTTCAAGTGAAATTGGAAT